GTTTAATTGGTTTAATATTGTAGCTCCTAATCATGTAGATGGGTTGCCTAATTTCATGTCGTTTATGTGTTGTCTAAATTGATAATACATTCCCCTTGTATTATCCAATGATGAATAAAATTTTCTGATTACTTATAAAAAAAAAAAAAAGTAAAGATGGAAGCATAGCTATAGAATATAGCTACGTAGGTATATATCTTTATATATAGTACATATATGTATATCTCTAAATATAGGAAGAGAGAAGACAAAGTTGAGGAAGGGTTGGAAAATTGCCAGAGAGACTATGACACAGTTGGGCAAGACTGGAAGAGACGAGAGGCAGATGGCTAGCCGGCTAGGTTTCGTCACTTCTTTCTTTTCGGGCTTATCAGTTTGTGGGGAATTGGGCATTAAGGTTTTGATTTTGTGTTTCTTTATTGAATTTAGAAATTTGAAGTATAAATGGTTGAATAAAATAATTCTGTTCGGGTTTTATTGGGTTGGTTGAACAACCCTACCTGGCCTGATTTCGAAAGATTTCTGATTGGACAAAACCTCATCCAAAAACAGCTTTTCTTCTGATAAAGACACAAACTGGCCCGAAGTTGGTTTTGGTGGGTTTCAGGTATTCTGCCCACCTCTATTTAGGTGTTCACATGATGTGTAAAGGATGTTGTAACGGGTGTTCAATTCATCACCTAAATATGTGATTGGGGACATCTTGTTATAAGTTCTCAAGAGAGGCACTCAGATTTTATTTCATGTATTTGGCTATCGTATTTAACTTAAATTGCTTACATGTAGATGTAAGTAAAATGTGAATATATGTGTGCATCCATCTATCAATATTTGCATATAACACAATCAAGACGAAGCTGAGATTTCAGAAATTTCAGATTTCACTTTCTGAACTTATCGCACAATCAGTTAGATGATGCTCTCCGAAACAAATTCCAGTTTATGCTCTGGTTATTTGACACCTTAGATTTTTTTGGGATCTTGTTAGGAATAATGGATAAAATCACATATATGGATTCTAAGCTTATTTTAATGTCAGGAAAATAGGGAATATTCCCAAATTGGTGAATTTTTTCTATAAAATAAGACAGTGCTTTCAACTGTTGGTATATAGTTATTGGATGGACAACTAATGGAGGGAAGTTTGCAACATCAGTGTCATGGTAAATAATACTGGTCAGACCTCGTGAATGCTAAATTTGTGTTTCTCTTACGATGCTTTATATACAATCCTTTGTGTAAATGCTTCAATCTTTGTTACCAAACGTACATCATGTTACTAGGTAGAGTATGGCTCGTCTTTTGATGCATTGTATACTGAATCATGTAGACATGAAGAAAAGAGCAAATCTGTTGCTAAAGGCTCAATGCGAGCCTTTTCCCTTCTGCTTTCTTCCCTTTTTCTTCTAATGAGAAAAGGTCAACTGTTTGAGAAAAAGAGGGGATGCAAGGGTTGTACAGATGATTCTCTGTACAGTCCCAAGTATCTATTTTAATAACTTCAATCTGTTTGCTTTTTCTTGTTGGTCTTATCTATTGGTCCTTGCACTTTTGCATTTAACTATATTATTTTAATTTTCCAGGCTTCTCCAGTTGCAATTGGTGGGCGTCAGGTGGGGGTTGAGGAAAAAAGGTCTACCAATTCTCGAGGTAAGTTGAATTCTGTTGTAGTTTCTGTTCCCCGCTTGGGAATCAGTTTTAGAATTAGAAAGGGAAAATGGAGTATATTGGAAATCTGTGACTTGGTATGATCGTAATCTTGCTGCATTTTTCTTTTGTAGTTAATTGAGTAGACAACTTTTACCTCGAGATAGAACTACTTGATTTATTTGATTATTTGAAGTTCGTGCAGTGTTTTTCCAGTACTAATGCATTCAACTAATCGTTGAGTTGTTGGACTATATTTATATGTTTTCCCCCCTTTTCTAAAATATATTTAACTTTTTATGCCTGCAGGAAGTAATAGGGGGCGGTTCCAATCTGGAAGGGGTTCTGGATTCAGGAACGAGGGAGTGAGAGGGCGGGGAAACTATGGAGGGGGCCGGGGTTACAACCGGGGTGATTTCAGTGCCAGGAATGAGTCGAGCAACAGGGGTGGTAATCGGGGAGGACCATCAAATCGTGGTGATGGATATCACAGATCTGACAGCTTTAATAGTAACACCGGTCGCATGAACCGAACAGGTGGAATGGCCAATGGGACTAACAAAAATATGACACCTAGGGTGTCTGCAACTGCTTGAGGCACCATTGTGTAGAGGGTGGCCTGCTAGTCGTTTCAGTAGGTTTTCCTTCGAGTTGTAGTGATTTTATTGGTTCAATATCTTTTGGGGTGACATTTTCATGGTTGGTAAATTTCTCATCGGGTTTCTCACAATTGATTTTACAGTGTTCCCATTTCTGGGTATAGTTGGTCAGTGTATGAGATGGAAGTAAGTTTTGGGTTCATTGCACCAGTGGCATCCAAGTCCCGAGGTGGAGTAATTCTCCAGACATTTTGGGTTATTTTTGTAGTTGATGAATTGTTTTTTAGGCCTGCTTTAAATTCTGATACTAGGGGATAAATATTTGTTATGTTGAATTAAGAGATTTATGGGAGCGATTTAGTTATGTTGAATACTAAAAATCAAGTTTGAATGATTAGAACTTGTCTTTTCTGTGTATGTGGTTTTTTTTTTAAAACCAAATTTGTTAAATTAATAAATGGAAAAAAAAAAAAAAAAATCAAATTTACACTATGAACACGAGAATTGTCTACCAGAATGGACGATGGCAAAACTTGAATGACAAAATCGAAAAAAATAGGATTGTTCTTATTTGATTCGACTGAAAAGAGACTTTCAAATAAGCAAATAAGAATATATTTAAATTTAGAGAGCAATTTCGAAGAGCAGTAAACATTTTTAAGTTCTGTCTTTATATTTAATATTAAATTTTACTATCCTCAAAAATAATTTTTTTTGTGTCGCTTTTTATTTTTCACTACATTTTCTTCAAATTATTATATTATATTTTTTCAATTGAAAATTTAAATATTTTAAATGCATTTAATTAAAGAAAGCAATTTTGACTCTTTAAATTTGAAAAAAATAAAATTTACTCTCTATTTTAAAATGTTAATTTAAGGAATCTTTTGAAACATAATTTTAATGATTAATTCTTTAAAATAAAGCACATTTTATGTTTAAATGATTACTTGAAAATGCTCTTAATTTTTTAAAATAAAAAACATTTTGTATTTAAAAAATCTCTCGAAAATATTTTTAGTAACACAAAAAATAAAGGGCTTACAAAGCCTTCACAAAATATTGGGCAAATTCCTTAGCGTTCCCAACTTTTCTATTCATGTTTTCAACATTTAATTTTGAATAATGCTATTTATCATCATGTTGATAAATTATCGTTGATGTGGCAATCTATTAGACCTTCTATTCGTGATATTCATGTTTTCAATCTTTAATTTGTCCCACTCTATGTTATCAAACCAACCTTTTATGTTGTGTGAATGTCACATTTAGGACAGATTGTGGATCCCTAGAGAAATTTATCCCTATCAACATTATCGCCTAATTAATGAGTTCGAGAAAAATTCTTTTCTCAAGTTAAAAGAGAAATAGTAAGAAAATTTTCCAATATTTGATTAGTTTGCATTTTGGGTCCCAACCTTTGCAAAGGAGTATTTCCTTTCCCAACCTCTAATTTTAGCATCATGTACGTCCCTAGCGAACGGTTTCACTCTATCTTTAGTTAAGAAGTCAAATTCGTGTTAAAAAGACGATATAGCCCTTAAAAGAGAGGAAAATGATGGAGAAGTTCACTAAAAGTATTAAGGACACAAAATACTTGTCTAAAAAATAAAGTAAATATCGATTTTACAGTTCAGGAACAAATCATCAATGGTATTAGACAGTTCATTTGCCAATATTTCCTCCCAAAGATTTAAAACAGAACAAAGCTTTACAAATCTGAACTTCCTAGGCTGATAATATCTTTATCATATACAAGAAATAGTTCCACGCCAATCAATGTTCAACATTAGCATGTCTTGATTCATTCGAAGTGTCCCTCTAACGCTCTCCAAAAAAGAACTCAAAACACTTGAGAGATTTTGTAATTTCTGGCACATGATATATTCCCACCAATGAGCAATTTCAGGTATTATGAAAATATATAGATAATGCCTCTTCTTTTCTGTTTTGAACATAGCAGGTATACAATCAACCATACAAAATGTTTTATGAGTTTATAATGGCTTCCTGCACTATGGAATAATATTGAAGGTCTAGTCAATGACTATCAATTGGAAAAGGAACTTGAAAATTCTATTCTCAAAACTTAGTTCAAGCAGATTCAATAAGTTAGTATATACCACATTTTTCATCAAAAAAATTCATTTAAATTTCACTCTTTCCTTGGATCATCGTATATAAGTTGAATCTAGATTTACTGCAGTTCTTAATTGGTGATTGAAACTGGCAATGAACAACTGGTATCAGATGACAGGCAGAGGTTGCATTCATGCTGGGCATACATTTAACATAAAGAAATGGCTGACAGAAAATACAGATAGTAAGTTTATAGCCAAAATTGTGACGGAAGCCAAAAGGATGGGTGATCGCAATAATCAAATAATTATATCATTACCAATATGTAGGATTTTAGCCACCAAAGTTTCTCTACAATCTACATAGACAAACACTGTATAGCATTAATTTCCATCCACTGGGAACATAGTATTGAATACCTATTTGACAATAAAAGGACAACTTCTAACCTAATAATAAAATATCAATGTTAATATAAAACTAAGAGATGAATGCTGATACTAGAATAGACTATAGATATGAAAGTTTCTATAAGACTACAACGTAAACAATAGAAAAAATTTACGTGTAAGGAGCAGTATCAGGCCTTGAAAGTGCTTGCAGAACTAGCTTAGTCATCCTCCAAGCATTGGCTCCAATCAATAAACCTATATTCATAGACCAAAATTGCAGGCTTGCACAAACTCATTTTCATAGTCGACATACCTTGTCCAAAGTGGACGGAACTGGGTAATTGCAATATCAAGCCACGGCTTCATATTTCCATTATAGTGTATGACTGCAGCATTGTTAATCTCATCCATGCTTATACTTGGATTATAGCCTAGCCCCAAAACATGCCAAGACTTGTCAAGTGGCTTCGTTGTCGAGTAATATGTGATCAGACCTGGAGGCAATGTCCCTAATTTCCACAAAGTTCGGTTCTCATTCTGCAGAAAATCAAATGCACGGTTTTAACCTCACAAGAATTAGCAGACAACAAAAACAAAGACATAATTCAGACTACAATGCAGAGGAGAGCCAATACAAGGCAAAGACATCAGGACCTGTGTCTATAATTGCAAAGTCACATCAACCTTTGGACCAAATTAGACTTCGACCCCCAACAATAATTGCCATTAGAAATTACAAAGATCTAAGAGTCCTTGAGTCAAGCACAATGAGTAAAGTGTGACACTGGTCAAACTAGATTAACTCCCACGTGAAATTGCTGGGTGGAAGCAAGGATGTAACTTCATGTGGAAGCTAATACCAAATAATAAGCAAGTAATTAATAATTGATTTGGCATGCAATCTTACAAGATTCTGCCAGTAATGGTACTCTTCAGTGCATTTCTCCCTCCTCCAAGCATCCAAATCGAAAAAATTCATACCATAAGCCCACGCGCATGCCTTGGGACTGAACTTGGCTTTGATCAGAGGGTGAGAGAAATTCATGTATTGTGCATATCGATGAAATGATCCAAAACACGTCTCCACAGCCCCATTGACCTTCCCATCCATATCTATCTTCCAAAGCCCAGTCAAATCCTTTTGAACTACTATATCGTCATCCAAGAACAAAATCTTATGCAATGTTGGATACATTTCCGGCAAATAGAACCTGAGATGATTTAAAATTGATAAATATTTTGGGTTCCTGAACTTCATATTTGTCGTATCCTTGGTAGCTTTCTCAAGCTTAGTTTCAAAATAAAACTTCTGTAGGTTGGCAGACTCGAGCTGTTTCAGAACCGGAACATAAGAAGAGTTCAAGAATTTATAATCCTCCACGGCCTTTACTTCAATATGAGCCCCATTATAATCCCTCATCTTGAACATGACCTGCATTGCCCCGAGATTCATCTTATCAGTCACTACATGAAACACATGCTTCCATGGTTCTTTTGTGTTTTTAACTGCTGAATTCACCACGACTGAAGCAGCAACCACATTATCTGAGAAAATAGCATAATGATAAAGCTTTGGGTCCTCTAATTCAGGCTTGGCGGGCTTCCCTTCATCTGTGTATTTTTCTGGATGAGCAATGCGCTCTTCCATTAGCCTCAGAGACAAGCAATGCAAGCTCTTGGGGATTGATTTGGCTGCAATCAAGCTTGAGAAAGCGCCCTGCTTTTTTGATTTAGTCAATTGCTCATTTAACGCAAAGATGGTATCTTTGAGCTTATGAATTTTCAGCTGATTGTCGAATGACTCTTTTGCCTCGGCAACAACTTGCCTTGTTAGTTTAATTCGCTCTTTTACCTCCTTCTCAAACTTTCTCAACGCTGACTCATCAATTGAATTTGCATCAGCATCAAATAAAGTGCGATAGGAAGGATGAGACATTAGATTAGTGTAATTTCGAGAGAGATCTGCAAAAATTCTTACGAGCTTTGTGTTATCGAGCTTGAGCTTCCGAGCATAGGAAGCATAAGTTATGGCTAAGCTTCTGTGATCTCCTGCTTGCTTTCGGATCTGATCAAGCCTTTGCTTTAATGTATTGAGTGCCAAAACTGATCTCCGATTTGACTCCGTCTTAACTCCATTTTGATAATTAGAAAAACCCTAATATACAGAAAAAATAGAGAAATATACAAAAATCAGTACAATTTCTTGTCCATAGATATATTATCATAAACAAGAAAATGCGAGTAATTTAACTAAACGAAGAAATTGAATAATGCAATTTGATAGATCCAATAATACACATATTATTCAAAATGAACATGTTCACGATGACCATAAATGCATCCATTATCCAAACCCTGCGTAGTCAAAAAACTATATACACACATTCATGTACTCAATATTAAATCACGCACGCAGATAAATAAACTACATACTACAAAAATCAAAAAAATAATCAGATAAAAATTAAATCACACTTACAAAACTATCTGAGGGGAATAATGGGGTAATGAAGAGAAACGAGAAAACGAAGAGAACTGAAACGGCGACCGTAAGAGATAGCGCAAAGAATCTGAAAGTGAATATGGAGGCACAAAATGGAGGTCCGCTGCCCCGACACTGTGCCGGAATCCTTTGACTCCGGCGCAAATTAATTGCCATTTCTTCTTCAAACAATAACGCTCTCGGATTGAGAAGAAATAAAATATAATTGAAGTTGAAGTTGAAGTTGAAGTGGGAGTGTAATACGAATTGAATTCTAATTCATTCATAACTACGTATGGATAACGAATGAATTCTAATTAATTCATAATTAAGTATGGGTAAATTATACTCTGGGTCCCACCAACCTCCCCACTTTATCTCAATTTATTTTCATTAAATTTCAAGGGAGTTGTTATTTTCGTACACCACACATACATACATACGTACGTATGTACGTAAAATGATAATCATGTTATCACCATGAAATTTAATTACTACACCACGTTATAATCACACTACAATTAAAATATAATTTTAATAAATATACCAAAACAAATTCTACTCTTAATACAACAAAAAACTAAAATTGAAAATAATAATAATTTCTAATACAATAAAAATGAAAAAATAAATATGTGGTGCTCACATCCTTTCAGTATTCGATAAAACAACAATCTTAATAGTCGCGACAAAGAGACTACTCCTGACGAAGGAGAAAGTTTCGAATAGAGACGTATTCAATGGTGGATTATTGTTCCTTCACCTCCGCTTGCGACTATTGTTTGAAATTTGGTAATTGCTACAGCTTTTTCTAAACAGAAACATCAGCTCCTCAAGCTTTCCCTTCGAGCACTACGAGAAGATGATCCGTGTCTATCACTGTATTGTCGAGAAAGAGGTATACGTCGTCATCTTCGACGTATCCGTGGCCGTCGATTCCAATTTCTTCAACAACGACGCTGTTCTCCCACTAAATTCTCTTGTATTCAGAAATGTATGGTACAACCTATTCACGTGTATGTACAATTGTCACATTGCTCTTTATTTTCCATATTCTTGTTGGGTTTTTGGTTTTATGTTTCTAGCCAAGAAAAGCATAGCAAAGTCAAATCATGATCAACTTTTAGGATAAGTCAAAAGAAATGTATAATACTCTATGTTTACATTTATGTATAATCCTCAAATTGCATTCCTTTTTTCCATATATATTTTTTTAAAGTTCTTATTGGCTTTTGCTTATTTGTCTTTGGTCAAGAAAAGGATAATAAAAGACAAAATCATGTTCAAAGTTTAGGATATCAAGAGTGGCTTTCTTTAAACTAACATTTAATGGAAAAGCATAAGGTTTCAATTTTGGTTTATAATTTGAAAGGTGAACTAAATTGACAAAAGCAAAATATCGTAAAGGAGGTTCAAGGAACAAATTTTAATCCTTCGACCTCCTTATACGGTGCTATTTCTATCAGTTTTTGGTATGGTAATAAAATTAGAGGGCTTTGATGGAAAGCCCAAACCAAAAATTTCCAGGCCCACAACTTTTCGTGCATATAAAATTTGGCGTTTCTCCTTGATTTTATTTTCTGTGTAGTGAACGAAACCCTAGCGAGCAAATATGATCATTCCAGTCCGTTGCTTTACTTGTGGAAAGGTAGATAAACCCAACAATTTATCTACGTTAATCCCCACCCCAACTCTTTTTGAAGAAAATATTAAAATTTTCATGGTTTTGCTAGGTAATTGGAAACAAATGGGATACGTACCTTGATTTGCTCCAGGCTGATTACACAGAAGGGTGAGTATCTTATGAGTTCTATGGTTAATTTTTTCTTTGTTGTTATTTGGAAACTTCTTCTTTTTTCTAAATTTCGCTTACAGTTTTAATTGAGTCTGAAGAATGTGTTTTAATTGACAAACAAGAAACTAAGTTGTGTATGATTTGAAAACAGGACGCCTTTATGTGAATTTGCTTTTTGCTTCATGATAGCTGTGCAAGCTCGTTTATTTTAAAGCGTGTGTAAGTTATGCTGTTTGTAGAAGTTGTTGCTGGTTGTGTGAAGTATTAAAAGGTTAAAAAATTATTTTGTTAGAAACGTTGCAAGTTTATGAAGGACCTAAAATTATTACTGATCAGATATATTTCTACTTATTAAGTTTCATGCATGTAACAAGCAGCTTCTGATGAAGTAGTGTACAATTTTTAAGTCTCTTGCTGAATTCTTCAATTCATTATGAGCTTGTGCGCACAGGATTCGGTATTTTTATTCCCAAATTGATAAAAAATGCCTGTGAATAAAAGTCAAATGACTTGATTTTAGGCATGAACTGGATATTCGTATCTATTGTAATTTCCTTGTACAGGGTGATAAAGAATGACAATAAGCACCATTGTAATAGGAAATCTTTAATATTGCAGTGCCGTTTTTTCAGCAATAATGCACAGGATAAATTAGTCAAATTGGCTAAGATTAAGAACTACAGAAACATCTAACGTTGAGAAAGCATTTTTTTATTTAGCATTCTGTTACTGTCCACCAATAATAGCTTATAGAGTGACACAATTCACATGCTTCCAGACA